GATGAGGAAAATATTTTAAAACTATTCTAAATATATTCTGCCAAAAAAAAAAATATCTCAGAGCTGAGCATCAACAACCTTTTGGAAGAAAGATGTGTGGAAAGCAGTGCTTGGAGTACAGCTGGGCAGCTGCAGTTGGGAAGCAGGGAAGCACCCTGCAGGTGGCCCATTCCCATCTCCTGTTTCTCTCTTGCACGAGGACTGTGGAAAAGCTTCATGGTATTTTCCAGTTTAAGTCCTCAGCACCTTTGCCCCATTCTTTACAGCTTCACACAAGTGCTGTTATCAGATCAGCAGTTCTACCTGAGCAGAAAACGTGCCAAGAGGGGAAGGCCCAAGCTCGAGAAGGAAACGTTTGGCACACGATTTGGTTCACTGCTTTTTCGTTTTTCTAATTCCTACCATGATTTCACATAAGTCATTTTGTCTTTGCATGCTTCTCTCAGCTCTGATCTTTGCATGACTTTTCTTGGCTCCACAAACATGACTCAGTGGATTAACGACTGTTACTGCTTCACCTCTCACCATGCCATAAATCAAAGGCCCTATAAAGACTGGGGAAAACGCAGCGAGACTGAGCTCAGCAGCTTGTAGCGGGCTGAGGGGATCCTTTGCCGAGTGCGCTGAGGTGAGTTACAGCTTGGTTTCACTCTGAGGCTTTGATGGTTGTTTTTTCCGATTTTGGTGCAGGAAAAAAAAAAAAGCTACCACGCGAAGGTTACCAGGCGAAGCTGCTAGATAACGAAATCTATTCAGAGCCGGAGCTACGGGGCAGGCTCGGGGCCAGCAGCAGCTCGCTACGGCTAACCGCCTGCCCGCCCTCCCGGCCTTCGCCCGCCCGCTGCCGTCCAGCACCTGGCGGCGCTCAGCTCCGCCCCGCCGCGCCCCCGGGGGCAGCGCCCGGCGCTCGTCGCGTGAGGGGCGGCCGCGCGGCCCGGCAGCCCTCGGGGCCCCGCCGGCGGAGCGACGGGCAGGCGAGTGCGAGGCGGCGGGTCGCGCGGAGCTCGTGGGCCGCGGTGTGAGGGGGGCGGGGGGTGCGCGGGGCGGGCCCGTGCCCTGGCGGCGCGTGAGGTGCCGTGTCAGCGAGGTCGGAGCGCTGGAAGTTAATGTGTTCAACGCCGGCCGCTCGGGGATGGCTGCGCGCTGTTTACTTCCAGCGCTGAGACTTCTCTAACCCGGCTCCGTTCGGCTCCCGGCGTCAGACGGCTCGGAGCTGGCGGTAACTGCTCCCCTCGTGGGTTCTGCGGAGCTGGCTGAGGTTTGGGCTCCTTCGGTCTGCAGTAGAGAAAGATCCGGGGAGAGCAGCCTTCCAGCGCCTGAAGGGCGCCTGCAAGCAGCGACGGGAGCGACTTTTTTCGCGGTCTGGTAGTGGTGGGGCAAGAGGGGTTGGCTTAATGCTTAAAGAAGGCAGACTGGGGTTACATGTGAGGGAGAAGCTCTTCACTCAGAGGGCGGCGAGGCCCGGGCGTGGGCTGCCCAGAGCGGTGGGTGCCCCATCCCTGGAGGTGCCCGAGGCCAGGCTGGGCGGCCCTGGGAGCTGAGCTGAGGGGAGCACAGCCCACGGCAGAGGTTGGGGCTGCAGGGCTGTAGGGTGCCCTCTGATCCAAGCTGTTTTGTGATTTGACTTTAGGAACACATTTGACTCGAGGAACACCATTTCTGTTCTGCTGAGTTTGCTGTTTTATTGACTGGGGGTTGGAACTGGTTAAAATGCATGAAAACGTTGTGATGCGTTGCCTGATAGGCCCGTTTTCAGCCAGGTTTTTCTTTAAAGCAAAACTTAATAGAAAGTTGGCAGTGATTTTCTCTATTATACTTGTGAAAGTGTAGTTTGCTTGTTTTTTTTTTTTCAATGGCAGCTTAACGAGGATGGTTTAGTTTTGCGTTCTCAGTCCCTTAGAGGTCTGTAAGCTGCTAATTCTGGAAAAATATTTCCTATATTTATTTTTGACAGGAAAGTCACCATTGTTCTGTTGATGTAATCTCATTAATGGCATTCAGGCACTAAATAATACTGAGCTCTCCTGGTCAGTCTAACTGTGGTTTTTCAACACATTTTCTTTAGCATTAGGCACTTATTTCAGAATCATGCAGTATACAGTCTTTTTTACCACATCAACACATTTTTTCTTTTCTGAATCTCCTTTTTCTACTAATAGTCTTACAGTAAAAGATATGAGAGAGTTATAGGTGGAATCAGAGATTATCTTCAAGCTAAGATTGTTTTAAAAAGGCTTTTAAATGCCACCCCTCCTCACAGTAATGCCATTTTTGGTGAACTTGCTATGAGTCACATTGCGACCTGATTTTTATGTGGTGCTACAGGAGTTGTGCTGCAGTAGCATTACACAAGCTTCCGTCACTGTAACAAACCACGTCCTGAAAGCATTCACAATAAATTTGCCTCTCACAGTGACAGAACTAGTTTTAAACTAGTTGTCATGGGTGAAGAGTAGCTGTCACTGAATGGAGGAGTGCTGCAAAGCACATCAGCATGTGGTTTCATGCAACATAAGGGATGTTTTGTTGTGTGTAGTTCAAAGGACGCTTGGTAAGAGTGCTGTATGTTACAGTGGTCTTCTAAAAGCTTAAGACTTCAGCTCAATTCAGTAGACTAATTAGTGATTTTCTATTTTTTCTTTCAGTTCTGTTATTCTCTTTCTCTCCAGTTCCCAAATCAGAGGACTGGTGTAGTTGATGGAGTGCAGCTGTTAGTTTGAGAGTTTAATACCAAGGATTTTGCTGTTTGTTTCTGAACATCTGCCTACAAATGACGTTTCAGGTTGTTGTTTGTGTGTGCTCTAAAACAGCTTCAAAGCAAAGAAATGCTGCACTCTAGTCCATTAGATGGCTGTTAGTTAAGGCACATCTTGTGTGTGTTTATAAGCATGCTTAATTCAAAATCTATTTAGTCAGAGAGGATAATTATCCTTTATTTAGCATTACAAAAATGAAGTCCTGTTCCATTGGTCTGGGCATGCTGTGCACTGCTGAACAGCTGGTCACTGCGCCTGTTTCGCTTGCTTAATAAAACCCAACCACAAACCCTGGGTTCATGAACTTCCAGGAACAGGCTGTCCTTAAAGCTGTCACAGACGGAAGTTGCAGAAATTATTCATCCTAAAAACTCCTCTTTCTTGGAGGGAGTATGAAGCATCTGCACTAGGTAGATTTTACTCCTAGGGCTAGACCAGCTCCTTCCCTGTGGCTGAGTGAGGCTGTTTGATACAAATGACAGCCTGCTCTAGGTAAACAGCAAGCAGCCTTCTAAAGTGAAACTGACGTATCCGGAGTTGGTGTTCTTCTGTAAGAAAGAGGATGAGAAGAACATGTCTATATCTTGGAAACTTCCTTTAAAACAAAGTGGGTAAAATAACTTATACTGAGGATACTTTCCACATTTCCTCTTCTCCTTCCTAAGCTGTTTATGCTTTGGGGATAATAACATCATTTCTGAAGAATTTAGGATACTTGAGTGAAGGATTTTAAGACAGCACGTGAAGGTGCAGAATGAGTTGCTCAACTACACGTATGATTTTGTAGAGAATTCTTGATGTTGACCTTTGGAACTTTTCTTGAAAATATTTGAATTCTCTGATTTAGTTTTCAAATTCCTCTCTGTAAGAGTCATAAACGAAGTCTTCTCTTCTGAAATGAAAAAGCTGGAGTTCCTGCACAATGATTCAAGGAATTAAACAACAAGATGTAGGTGAAAATCCTGTCATAAGTTTCTTTTCAAGTTATAACACCTTATTGGCAGTGTTGCAATGAGGAAATGAATTAAAATGAGTTTATACCTGTTTTACTGCTGAAAAGCTTCAAAGTGGTATTCATCATGTGCAAGTAATGTATTCATAAGGGGGAAGGATCTTGTTCATTGTAACAGAGGGAGGGAAACATATTTATGGGGATCAACTTTGACTTAGGGCAACACAATTGCACTACCCAGTGCTGCACTTCATGGTTTTAACTCTTGTTTGTCAAGTGAAAAGTGTA